CCCAAGGCTGGGAGGTCTGCTGCCACCACTGCGAATAGGAAACATAGGGTAGTGGTGGTTGGAGACTCTCTTCTCAGGGAGACGGAGTAACCCATCTGTCGCCATGACATTTCATCTCGGGAGGTATGCTGTCTGCCGGGGGCCCGTATCTGAGATGTTACAGAGGCACTGTCGAGGATTATCCGGCCCTTTGACTACTACCCCATGCTACGCATCCATGTGGGAACTACTGTGAGTTGTGACACTGAGTGGATCAAGAATGACTACAGGGCTCTGGGGGTACAGGTGAAGGAATTTGGATCGCAGATGGTATTCTCTTCAATCCTTCCTGTCGAAGGTAGGGGCTCAGGCAGAGACAGGTGCATTCTGGAGGTGAATGCCTGGCTGCGAAGATGGCATCACCAGGAGGGCTTTGGCTTCCTCGACCATGGGATGCTATTCCAGAAAGGAGGGTCAGGGCAAAACTGGGAGGCAAGGTCAAAACAGGATCTTAGATGCCTATATACAAATGCAAGAAGTATGGGAAATAAGCAGGAAGAACTGGAAGTGCTAATAAATACAATTATGATATTGTTGGTATCACAGAAACTTGGTGGGATAATACACGATTGGAATGTTTGTATGGAAGGGTATAGCTTGCTCAGGAAGGACAGACAGGGAAAAAAGGGAAGAGGTGTTGCCTTATACATTAAAAATAAACACACTTGGAGTGAGGTGGAGATGGACATAGGAGATGGAAGTGTTGAAAGTCTCTGGGTTAGGCTAAAAGGGATTAAAAACAAAGGTGGTGTCATGCTAGGAGTCTACTACAGGCCACCTACCCAGGTGGAAGAAGTGGATGAGGCTTTTTTTAAACAACTAACAATCATCCGAAGCCCAAGATTTGGTGGTGATGGGGAACTTCAACTACCCAGATATATGTTGGGAAAATAACACTGCAGAGCACAGACTATCCAATAAGTTCTTGGACTGCATTGGAGACAACTTTTTATTTCACAAGGTTGAAAAAACTACCGGGGGGGAGCTGTTCTAGATTTGATCCTAACAAATAGGGAGGAACTAGTTGAGAATTTGAAAATGGAAGGCAACTTGGGTGAAAGTGATCATGAAATCATAGAGTTCACAATTCTAAGGAAGAGTAGAAGGGAGAACACCGAAATAGAGACAATGGATTTCAAGAAGGCGGATTTTGGTAAGCTCAGAGAGCTGATAGGTAAGGTTCCATGGGAATCGAGACTGAGGGGGAAAAACAACTGAAGAGAGTTGGCAGTTTTTCAAAGGGACATTGTTAAGGGCCCAAAAGCAAACTATTCCAATGTGTCAGAAAGATAGAAAATACGGCATAAGACCACCTTGACTTAACCACAAGATCTTGCATGATCTAAAAATAAAAAAGGAGTCTCATAAAAAAATGGAAAGTAGGACAAATTACAAAGGATGAATATAGGCAAACAGCACAGGAATGCAGGGGCAAGATTAGAAAGGCAAAGGCACAGAATGACCTCAAACTAGCTACGGGAATAAAGGGAAACAAGACGACTTTATAAATACATTAGAAGCAAAAGGAAGACCAAGGAGAGGGTAGGCCCACTGGTCAGTGGAGGAGGGAGAAACAGTAACAGGAAACTTGGAAATGGCAGAGATGCTCAATGACTTCTTTGTTTCGGTCTTCACCGAGAAGTCTATAAGAACGCCTAACAGTGAATGCTAGTGGGAAGGGGGTAGGTTTAGAAGGTAAAAAAAAAAAAAAAAGAACAAGTCAAAAATCACTTAGAAAAGTTAGATGCCTGCAAGTCACCAGGGCCTGATAGAATGCAACCTAGAATACACTCAAGGAGCTGATAGAGGAGGTATCTGAGCCTCTACCTATCATCTTTGGAAAATCATGGGAGACAGGAGAGATTCTAGAGGACTGGAAAAGGGCAAATATAGTGTTCATTTATAAAAAGGGAAATAAGAACAACCCAGGAAACTACAGACCAGTTAGTTTAACTTCTGTGCCAGGGAAGATAATGGAGAAAGTAATTAAAGAAATGATCTGTAAACACTTGGAAAGTGGCAAGATGATAGGGAACAGCTAGCATGGATTTGTAAAGAACAAATCATGTCAAACCAATCTGATAGCTTTCTTTAATAGGATAACGAGTCTTGTGGATAAGGGAGAAGCAGTGGACGTGGTATACTTAGACTTTAGTAAGGCGTTTGATATGGTCTTGCATGGCATTCTTATCAATAAACTAGGTAAATACAACTTAGATGGGGCTACTATAAGATGGGTGCATAACTGGCTGGATAACCGTACTCAAGAGAGTAGTTACTAATGGTTCACAATCCTGCTGGAAAGGCATAACAAGTGGGGTTCCGCAGGGGTCTGTTTTGGGACCGGCTCTTTCAGTATCTTAATCAACGATTTAGATATTGGTATAGACAGTACGCTTATTAAGTTTGCAGATGATACCAAGCTGGGAGGGGTTGCGACTAATCTGGAGGATAGGGTCATACTTCAAAATGACCTGGACAAATTGGAGAAATGGTCTGAGGTAAACAGGATGAAGTTTAGTAAAGACAAATGCAAAGTGCTCCACTTAGGAAGGAACAATCAGTTTCATACATACAGAATGGGAAGCGACTGTCTGGGAAGGAGTACGGAACAAAAGGATGTAGGGGATATAGTGAAACACAAACTGAATATGAGTCAGCAGCGTGATGCTGTTGCAAAGAAAGCAAACATGATTCTGGGATGCATTGACAGGTGTGTTGTGAGCAAGACACAAGAAGTCATGGTGTAAATCTATCCTGATGTGCAATAATAGTATGCTCTACAGTTGTGGCTGGTGATACTTTTAATGTTGGATTTAGGGACACTTTTAGCTGTTGTTCACACTATATAGCCCATAAATTTTTATAACTTCAGTCTTATGAGATTGAGTGCACAGAGCTGAATTAGGGATGGGAAGAAGGTGGGCGCAGGCATTGTGAATTGATGAAACTGCATATCTTCTTGATGACTTAGGGGCAGAGAGGTGTATGATCAGTCTTTTCCATGAGGATCTACAGATTGTGGGGCGAGGGTAGCTTTTGTTATAAATCATACAGCAGAGAAGGATGCATGCATAGCTTGTGTAGGATAATATTCTCCACCTATACTTTCATCCCTTCTCTCTGTTTTTCTCCCTCATCCATTGCCCACCACCAATTAAACCTAGGGAACAATACACACAACAAATCTTGAAGCAGTTAGTATTGCTACACTCAACCACATATGTACACATATACCATGCCTGATACAATAGTAAGGAAATGAGTATTCTAAGCCAGTGGTCCCCACCCTTTCAAGGTTGTCGGGCGCCAGGGGGCGGGGACACTTGCGCCCCGGGGGTGGCCCCCCGCCAAGCGCCGCGCGCCCGGGGCCAGGCCAGCCCTGAGCACTTGGCAGGCGCTGCCATGGCGCCCGCGGGCACCGTGTTGGGGACCACGGGTCTAGACAGTATTTGGTCCTGCCATAAGGGGAGGGGACTGGACTCGACCTCTCGAGGTCCCTTCCAGTCCTAGTATTCTATGATTCTTCAACAAGTTTGAACAGAACACATGCTAAACCAGAGGTGGACAAACATTTTGGCCTGAGAACTATATATTGGTATGCAAATTGTATGGAGGACCATGAACGCTTGCGAAATTGGGGGGTGGTCAGAATGCAAGATGGGTCAGGGCTATAGCTTGGGGCGACAGCTCTAGTGTGGAACCAGAGATGAGGGCTTTGGGGTGCAGGAGGGATGCTCTGAACTGTGGCCAAAAGGTGCGAAGGAGATTAGGGTTGGGGCTATGGGGAGGTCCTGGGGTACAGGGTCCCAGTGACACTTCAAGCAGTTCCCAGAAACAACCACATTCCCTCCCCACCCCACAGACAATGCTCCTATGCAGAGGTGCAGACAGGCAGATCTGCACACTGTCCTTTCCGCAGGTACTGCCCCCCTACAGCTCCCACTGGCCACAGTTCCCAGTCAAAGGGAGCAGCACAGCCAGCGCTAGGGCCAGGGGCAGCTGGGCAGAGTGCTCTGGATGCCTCCTATCCCACTCAATGGGAGCTCAAGAACAGGAATAAAAAATATCCGTCGGGCCTCACCCCTGCTCTAAACATATCTTGTTTAAGTGATCACATTTATAGCACTAGATAGGGATTTTGAAGCTTGCAAGTATCTATCAGGATTTTTTTTGAAGCCCAGGGCATTTGAATTCCAGAGGATCTTTTTTCTCTTATAGTTTTTATAATCCTAATTAAAAATAAACTGATAATAGGATCTTGAAGATGCTGAAATTTAAAGGACCTTGACACTGTAGCTCACCAAAAAGTATCAGAGAGGAGTTCGTCTGCCATATAAAAAACCTAAATAAAGATCTTGTTTATAAAAGCAATAAGATGATGAGAGCTGTTAATATCGAGAATCACCAGAAAAAAACAAAACACTGTACCTCTTTCTAATCTGTACTTTTGGTTTCAAACGAAGATCTACCCTAGTGACTGCTCTTCCTAGGTGGCTGCTTATAAGGAAACCAGGAAGTTGGGATCAGACGTGGATGTGGTTATGTTTAGACAAATAACCCTTCCTCTTCCTAAATTATGTTCTCATCTTAAACCAGGGCTGAACAATACTTAAAAACAAAGATGCTTAAATAAAAGCTGCAAGGTCCACTGAATACATTCCACCTTCCTACTTTTTTAAAAAATTTAACGACTTTACAATGGGGGAACCTGAAATCACAATATCACTGGGCAGCTGTCAATGTTATCAACAAAAGCTCAGATATAAAAGGCTGAACACTGGGAAATGAAATCAGTGATGCCAGAAACCTGGCTTTCACTGGAAGTTGCTACTTCATAATGACAAAATAAGTACACCAATGGAGGGGGCTAAAAATCTCTTTTCAAGTATCACAGAGGCTATTTTTTTTAATTTCTCTAGGACATCCTTGCATATTCAGAATGACTCCAGAAAAGGTACCTTGGTTGATGATGGCGGAGTAGGAAAATTAAGCCAGGCTGGAGCAAAGTCATGCTGCGCCATTTAGGTCCAGTCTCTCCAAATCAGTGAAACAAGGCTTCAGCACCTCATGGCAAGTCCCTGGCATTTGGAAAAGAAAGTGGATACATTTTACACTTGTATCTTAATAGCAGGACACATAATTGTGTCTTATTTCCAACCATGCCTAGATTTTCTGATATTACTTCCAGGAACAAATCTGCTCCCACCCTGTAATATCAGAGTTCCTCATACATTACTGACTACCCTCAGCATCTGTGAAGTAGGTTGGTATTATTTACAACTACGGAACAAGACACAGACAGTGACTTTTGCAAGATTTCACAAGAAATCTGTAGCAGAGTCAGCTCCTACATCCCAGGTCAAGACCATACTTAGTCTTAAAGAATTTTTAAAATCCGAATACCTACAGTTAGGCCTCTAAACCAATATTTAGGCATCTAATGAAGTGGTTTGATATTCAGAGTGGAGAAACACTCAGAATACTCATTAGAAATAACACACTGTGGAATATCAGTTTCTCTAAAAGGCAGGCCCCTTTGATCAAGTATTCTAGAATTAAGGGTCTGTGATTTTGTAAGGATTACAATTTTATCACAATAAAGTACCCTTTCCAATAACTGTTCAGTAGAATTTTCTCAGCTGAAGTTAAATATAAAGTTTGGGGAGATGAAGCTTTGTTTATCAAAAGGAATAGTGTTAAATATAATTAATACCAAAATTAAATGATTGATGACTCAGCTATATGCCCCATGTATTTTTTACTTAGAGATTACCTAATTAGAAACTGCTAAAAGACACTTCAACATACATTAACAAAGCACAGAATTGTATTTTTGTACTGTTTTGTGAGTCAAACATTTACCATTTCAAAGGACTCAATTTCTGAGTACTTGAAATGTGGGAAGTACAACAGTTTGAATACAATGCTGGAGGAAAAAGTCACAAAATAGTTACTAAAATGAACGAAAGTATTACAAAGAGATATATAATCTATACAGGTTGGACCACTATGGTTCGGCATGCTCAGGACCAGGCTGGTCCCAAATGAGGGGCTTTGCCAGACCACGGGAGATTTCTCCCTTCATAGCTCATGCTGCCCCCATGTTAGATATCTGCTGCCCCAGCTCCTCCCTCCCCCCCAGAGCTCCCCATCATGTCACCTGCTCTCTCCCTCCCCCCCAAACACAGGATTCCCATCTGAGCCCCTCCCCTCACACCCGCCCTTCACTCCTGCCTTGCAGCCAGACCTCCCTGTTCCTGGGCTCTGTGGTCTAGGAACATGATGTTGTTGGACCAAAAAGTCATGGTTTAGCTATGCTGCTTTAGTGAGGGTATTATGATAACAGGAGGGGTTCTCTCATTGTATAAGTATTCCACCTCTCCAAGAGGTGATAGGACAATTTCCCTATTAACCTAATGCGGTCTATAAGCAGGGGTTAGGTTGATTTAACTGCATCAATGTGGAAAAAAAAAAATCTACATCCTTCTGCAATGTACTTGTCTAATTTCCTTGTGTAGATCATAGTCTTAGTTGTTATGTCCCAATGCTTATGCAAGAAAATTGACAAGTCTGGGGCTTAGACAAGACTGCTGATCCTTAGAAATCAACCTGTACAGATTGAACCTCAACCAGGATTCTCTGGTCCAGCAACGGTCGTGGTTCGGCTAGGAACCATAGAATACTAGAACTGGAAGGGACCTTGCCCTCACAGCAGAATCATGCACCACCTACACCAGTGTTTCTCAATCTTTTTTTATAAAGTATCCCTTTAAACAAATGTGCTGCAATGGTAGGAAAAAAACCTGCCTGAAAACTATAGGTACTGGGGGTACTTAATTTTTTTTTAAACAACTTAATTGTAGCCAAATCGGAGATGAAATTTTTGGGTATAAAAAGTACAAAAATAATAAAGCACTGTAAAACTCAAAAATTCAGTTCTCTCAAATTTCAGTTGTGTTGATGTACCCTCCAGACGTCTCTCAAGTACCCCTAGGGTACATGTACACTGGTTGAGAAACACTTATCTAGACCATCCCTGATAGCATAACCTGCTCTTAACTCCAGAGATGGAGATTCCACAGTCTCCCTATGCAATTTATTCCAGCATTTAACCTCCGTAACAGTTAGGACGTTTTTCCTCATGTCCAACCTAACCTCCCTTGCTGCAGTTTAAGCCCATTGCTTCTTGTCCTATCATCAGAGGCCAAGGAGAACAATTTTTCTCCCTCCTCCTTGTGACACCCTTTTAGATATCTGAAAACTGCTATCATATCCCCTCCTAGTCTTCTCCTTCATAAACTAAACAAGCCCAATGATTTCAGTCTTCCCTTATAGCTCATATTCTCTAGACCTTTAACCATTCTTATTGCTCTTCTCTGGACCTTATCCAATTTCTCCACACCTTTCTTGAAATGTGGTGCTCAGAACTGGACACTCCAATTAAGGCCTAATCAGCACAGAAGAGAGAGGAAGAATGACTTTTTGTGTCTTGCTCACAACACTCCTATTAATGCATCCCAGAATCATTTTGCCCCCCCCCCCTTTTTTTTTTTAAACACAAGTGTCGCACTGTTGGCTCATATTTAGCTTGTGGTCCACTATGACACCTAGATCCCTTTCTGCAGTACTCCTTCCTAGACAGTGGCTTCCCATTCTGTATGTGTGAAACTGATTGTTCTTCTTAAGTGCAGTACTTTGCATTTTTCCTTATTAAACTTCAGCCTATTTACCTCAGACCATTTCTCCAGTTTGTCCAGATCATTTTGAATTATGACTCTATCCTAAAGCAGTTGCAACTCCTCCCAGCTTGGTAACATCGACAAACTTAATAAGTGTACTCTCTATGCCAATATCTAAATCACTGATGAAGATATTGAACAGAACTGGTCCCAAAACAGACCCCTGCAGAATCCCACTAGACCAGTGTTTCTCAAATAGTGCTCCACAGAGCCCCAGGGCTCCGCGAGACATCTCCAGGGGCTCTGCAAGGTTGACAAACTGGAAACATCGATAGGTACAACACATACAATCAGTGGACCGCTGCATAAATTTTCATGCATGTAAAAGGCTCCATAGCCCAAAGAGTTTGAGAACTGTTGCACTACACTATTACAGAATAACCTTCCCATATGGGAAGTTTTTCTCTAATCCCAGACTATTAGTAGTTGGCTTATGCTCTGAAACAAGAGGTTTTTCATCCCTTCTTGAAAAATCATGCCATTTTATGTGATCGCAGATGCTCATACCTATAAGTGTATAATGCTTTTTTGAATCCCGCTAAACCAGTGTTGCTTAAACTTTGAGGCCACGAAACACCAGTCCCCCCACTGGCCCCAGGCTCCACAAGGCATTTCAGTCTTTGAAAGGTACAAGAACCTCTACTGGGGAGCCGGGCAGGGTCTTGCTATATTTCAAAGCAGACGCTCCCCTATCAACTAATTGAATAGGGGATGGACATTCCATCGACTATTTTAATAATCTAATTTTAACATCCCTAGGCTCAGCAGGACCACAGATGTTGCTGGACCAGAGTGTCCTGATCAAGGGCCAGAGACAGGAGGCATGCAGGGGCTAGGAACCAGCCCTGCTGAGGGAGTCCAGCTGCGCCAGCAGTAGAGCACCCACGACAGTGGGGCCAGGAGCCCTGTCAGTAGGCCAATGGGCTGCTGCTGCAAGGCTAAGAACCCCGACAGCAGGGCCAGTGCTATCACAGTAGAACTGGCGGGGCCAGAACCCCCGAAACTGAACCGTAGTCTGCCACAACAGGGCCAGGAGCCCTGGTGGCAGGACCACGGCTGGTGTGGCTGGTACTGCTACAGCAGCGTTGAGAGCTCTAGAGGTAGGACTGAGCTGCCAGGGCAGAGGGCTGATGGCAGATGGAGAGCCAGTGGGAAGCCAGGCCTGAAGCGGAGCCAGGTTGAGTGGGAGGGGACAGTGGTAGCAGGGCCAGAAGTGACCTGCCCTAGTCTGGCAAAATCCTTCATTCAGGATCACTCAGGTCTTGAGGGTGCTCGATCAGGGAAGGCCAAAACTATTAGAAAAAAAGTATGTACTGCCCAGTGTAGCAGGCTGACAGCACCTTCAGTGGCAGGGCAGAGGACATTTAAAGAGAAACCACAGCAGAATTAGGACAAGGGTAATTAAAGATGGGAAAAAAATTCCACCCTCAAACACGAGGAGGAGTCCTATGACACCTCAAAAACTAACAAAGGTATTTGGGCATAAGATTTACATCACATTATACTTTGCAAACAACTAAACATCAAGAAAACACCAGACAAGGTAGCATACTATCTAGAATATGGTGAGTAACTGAACTTCAACAACAAATGGGATAGAATGACAATATGCTAACATCTTGGTTTAACCAAGTTAACAAGCACACGTCATGGGAAAGGAACTAAGGGTACTTTACAGCACTATTTCAGGATTCTTTCTGCATCCTGAAATAGTGCTCCCTGTATCTTGACAATGTGCCCGTTATTTCAAAATGTAATCAAATTAACAGGTGAGCTATTCCCACATCAGTAAACTTTGTTCCACAAGGATTAAGGGACCTGTTGGAATAGTGGTCTATTTCAAAACTTGGCATTGTGCAGACAGCGCCAAATTTTGAAACAGACCATCTTGAAGTAAGCTCGAAATAAGGTATGCAATTTGCATAGCTCAAATTGCATAGCTTATTTTGAGCTAGCGCCGCAGTGTAGACGCTTTAGTTAATTGAGATTTTATGTCATTGTATGTATGTTATGTTGGAAATTTACACAGAAAAAGTTAATGAATCGTGCTTGAATATTCAAGTGAATGAACAAATGCATATTTGAGTTCTCACTGTTCGATACAGTAACAGCATATTAATTTTCATGTTAAAAACAGAATTTAGAGCATATTATTCTTTGAATTTTAAAACTAGCATCCACAAACTATTGAATTCTATACCATTATGGGTATAGAACAATTATTCTGGGAGAATGTAATCAAGGTATGTTACGGGGAAATAGGCAAATGGTGGTAGAGGAGAGGCATTTGGGAGGTGGAGAAGTTTGCAATGGGGAAGAATAGGGGTGAGAAGTTTGGG